GGTAAGTGCGGCCGTTGTAAGCCGCTGTGATAGCGACGGTTTTTTTGTGTTGAAAGGGTTTTTCCTTGAGGGGTTTTGCCCGGACGGCGGGTTTCCCCTCCATATGTTACCATGTTGGTATTTTCTGATGTATCCTGGGGCGTTCTTGCCCAATTGATGGTTAGTCACTTGCGTGAAGAACCAGGGAGGGTGTTCGTGAGTCTGCGAACATTGCTGTTGGATACATGTGCTNTCCGTGTGAAGGATGGTCGTCTACCTCCCGTGAAGTTAATACATCACCAAAACAGTCTCACCCGATAAATAAGTGGCGTAGGCCGCAAACAAGGACTGGATAGAATCTTAGATTCTCAGAATGCAAGAACGGACTGTCAGCAGAGTTGTGTTGAGAGTAGGATTTTGAGAATCTGTGGACATGTGTGTGGACGAAGAGACACCCACAAGTGGTCAGTCTGACCCTCCAGGAGACTTCTCCCTTGTTGTGTCAGAGTATATTTCGCTGTGCACTAGCAGCAGTACGATGCTGCAGATGCCAGGAGGCTGTGTATGTAGCCTACCTCAGAGGTTCACACTCTGTGCGTCTCCAACCGCGAGAGACTTGGAATGAAAATATGAAGATGCTTTTACTAGTTGCTGACTCCCGAGTCAGATTGATGTTGTTGCTGGTACTGAAGAGGAGTGAGAGTTGTGGGCGAGCTTAGGACTGCACCACTCTTCTCGAAAACCGGACAAATAAGCCAATCACACGAAAGATCCAGAATGCTTCCAGAATGATTTCTTGAAGCCCTCCTACGTTCTAGAAGAGTATCAACTGCAACCTAGATCTAGAACGCTTCCAGAAGCTTACAGGAAGGAACTGTTCGTGTGTCTGGATACGAGCATGGTAGATCTGATAGCAGCACGCGGGGGGTACGTAGACAGGAGCATGCGTATGCCTGAAAAAGGCTACTATGTGTGGGCCCCGTTCCCCGAATTCGGGAGGGCCACTTCTTCCCTGCCTTTCCTCGCTCCCGTGGGTGCCTAATCAGAGAGAGTTAAAGTGTGTCTTCTCCTCCCAAGTACGGACATACCAACACACTAGTGTTTATTCCCTCGAGGGAGTCCATTAGGGATGGCGGGCCGCAGAACCGGAGGGACCAGTCCGGACGGCTCGCAGGCAGGAGACACAAATAGCAGCGAGAAGATCGACAGCATGCGGTCTGAGATCAGTTCGCTGACACAGCAAATGGGCCAGCTGGTGCAGCTGGTCGGAGGACTTGCTGCACGTATAGAGGAGAAGTCCGGCGGTGCCACGGAGGGCGCCGCTGA